GTGCAATATCATTCAGCGCACGTGCGTCCGGACGTCCTTTTGCGTCTCCGGGATCTGCAGAATTGAAATTTTTAACACTGTTAAAGAAAATGCTTAAGGTATCTTTTAGGTATATCTCTCTGTGTGCCAGAGCACTTTCTATATACTTATTATGAGGGATACATTCAAGTCTGTCTTTGAAAGTAATTAAGAAAACTTAGCTGGGACTTACAGGCGAAGACATTTCCTGCTGCATAGATTATTAGTGTCACAAAAATCGTGCAATACATACTCAGGTTGACGGTTTGTAAGCAGCGTCTCTTCGCATGCTTTTATAGTTCAGAAAAAGTACTGGGATCTATGTTTTCTCAAAACAGTGACTTCCAAAATCAAGCATGAGCATGCCTTAATCTAGCCTGACCTGTACTTTGCAGCGCGAGGCAAAATGTGAACCTTTTTACATCACCCGTCAGGACGTTCAGGTAAGAGCAAGAATTTCTTGCACACACCAACGGCTCAGATCGGATTCAATGGAATCGTTGTAGGTCGCCTTTCGTCCCATCCGAAGATCTCGAATTAAGTTTCAAATGCTGAAGTAAAGGTGGCGTTCTTCCTCGGCTGTGATCTTGGGGAAGTTTTTAGTCCTTGGCTACAGAAAAGGGTAGTTTCTTATGTGCAATCACTGCACTGTTTGCAGGTAGGCATAAGGCGCCAGAAAAAAAAGGCTCTCAGTGTTAAGGGGAAATGATAGAGTAGATGTCACAATTATATCGGCGTACCAGAAAGAGGATACCCCGTTGGGTAGGATTTTCAATAATTCATCGAATCTTTGGACCTGGATACGTTCGATTACTCTGCCTTTATACTTCATATTCAATCCAGCAAACTGTCTACATAAATGATGAAGTGTTTATCCCCATCACATATGCTGGTGGGAACTTGCAAAAAAGCTGAAAAAAAACTAAAATTGCGGAAGATAATTAAATATCAAAAACGTTAGGAGTGTAGGGACAACAGACAAATAAATGCATACTGCCAGCAAAGACAAGGGAGGAATGAATGGCCTCGTTAACCGTCGCAAGCTAGTCGTAGCCATTCTCAGACTATCCGCCACCAGAGACTCGAATGCGCGACTTGTGGGTTACTTGTCCGACGCTTGAATTCACATTTAAACGTTGGGTTAACTCAGTAAACCCAATTCTCCACAATGTCAGATTTTTCCGGTTCTTTGAATAACTGTCATTTCTAAACCAGGTAATATTACTTGATAAACCGAAGCATGCCTTGTGTTTTATAACGACTTTGGGGGCTACCTCTTGGAGGGATTTTCTTGGACTCTTTGATTTTGTCAGATACGCAATCCACTTTAGAATTTAAATGCAAATATATGTTTTTTGGAAAAATTTAGAAACATTCGTGGGGTGCGCTTTTGACACTGGTTCCTTATGTCGTCGTCAGAGGTGAGTAAATATGCACAAAAGCCAGAAAGCACTTCAAATATGCCGAAGCAGGCGATTGGTCTTTGAAATAAAATGTGGCTACTGTATGCATCAGTCTGTACTCATTAGCTCTTTTTTCCTCCATTTTTTACCTGATATATCTGCTGAGATAATTGATCATGCTATGCGCAGGTTTCAATGTGAAATGACGGGAACTGTAAAATTAAAGATTTTCTTTGAAAACCATCTTTTTACCCGCGGTTTGATAAAAGGAATAAATTATTTTGAAACCAATTAAAAATTTCCTGCCATGAATTTTCGTTGAGCCCGTCTAAACATTAAATGCTGTGGTAATATAAGTTAATTTTTACTATAATTGATGAAAAATGTATCTTATTGAAAACAACAAGTATTCTTTGAGTACGGTAGATATTGGCGAAATGCTTTACAAAAGCAATTTTTATGTTTTCGTGAGCTTGTGGCAAAAAGACGATTGCACTGGTAATTTCTGAACTTCCGATATACAGCCTAGTACTTAATTCTATATTATGCAGAATATTGAAGACAAGCCATTTGCACCTGCTCTGTCATAATACGTATACTAACCACCATATAATTTTCCCTAAATTTAATGTGCTATCAATATTTCAAAAATAAATTTGGCATTTATACAATTTTGGTGTTAAATGGATATAAATAGATTATCTACTTTGGTTGGATGCCAATTCATGAATCTCTTTTTATGACTTTGCTCTCTGTTTAAAAACAAAGAATTCTTTTTAACAGATTTTTTTTATTTATTTCATGCTCTACAAAAGATATTTCGAATGTTTTTTTTCGGGAGAGAATCGATTAAAATGTTTAAATGAGGTTAAAGCTTAATGATTGCTGATCATCGATGGTGCTAACAGAGGCATCAGTTTGGTAACAGCCTTCATTTAAATTCCGGAGCTGAAAGTTGCATCATCACCCTCACCTAACTTATTATCTGTTTTACTGTAACTCTTCTACCGGTACATGGATGGGTAACTTACTCATTTTCTACTTGAGAAAGGCTTAACCATTGCGGCGGTTACAGAATTCCGGCCTATGTAATATCCGTCTAGCAACCGTTGAACATTTTCCATTACTATACGTTCAGATAACAAGCAACTGCGCAATAGATCACGTTTTTGTATTGCAACAAGGCCAAACTATGGAACAAAATTACAGGACGCAGGAATCCTGTCATAATTTTAAGGATAACAGCGAAAATTTGAGAATAGGGACTAAAGAACAGGAACCACTTCCGGCACTAGACTCATGGTCGACATCGTAAATGTTACTGTAGCGCTGATGAGCAGAATATTTGCGGGATGTTCAAGTTTTGTATTGTTACGTCCGTCATTTTAAATTTAAATTTCAAAAGCAAGTCCGGTTAAATTAATTTGAGGAACCACGCCGAATGGTGAAGTGTTTATTGAACGCTGAAATATGTTGTCGTATTCTAAAGCGTGCTTACCTTATGCTAGACTATACTTGAATACCTACCATAGAGGAGAATATCCGAGTTCCGGGAAGCAGTTCAAAGGAAGAAGATGCGATCACTGGAACAAGAGTTTTATTTTCCTGGCGTTTCGGATTCCGTCGACAATCCTTAATCATAGGTAAGGGTAGCATAGTCTGAGCCATGCGCAGATAGGGGTGAAACATGCACAAATTGCACAGAATTTATATTTTGTGGCGGGCATTCCCATGCGTACTATAATTATCCAATCCTGCAGCTACTGCTGGGATCTTAATTTGTGCGGTGATGACTTGAGACTTCACGTTCGACTCATTAAGTGCCGCGAGTTAGTTGTCCGTGTCGAATACAGGCTTGGTAATTGCGCGACAATTATGCTCGTCGTCGTCAGAGTTGTTGCCGCGCCCGGCCCCTTCCACGCGATTCCCTTGCTAAGACAATATCTCAGTGCACCGTATGTGAACACCAAATTTTTGCGCTTTTTGGTGGAATGAGGGCTTGAGAACCATGACTGAAGCAGCTCGCGGCTCACACGGGTGTCACTTCTTGCGAGGATTTCGGCCCAGTTAAGCTTTAAAATATGGCCCTGTCCCGTCGAGTGAGCTGCAACCTGGGAGTTTGCGTCTGACTTTCTCATCGCCGCCTCATGTTTGGCCATTCAAATTATTGCAGAATATTTATTTTTGAAGACATTATCTCGCTTGAAAAAAGATGCAAATAATCATGAGACATCCTACAGAATTCCTGCGAAAACTTTCAGTCTCACTAGGCTTTAGGGCTAATTTTTCTAAGTCCAGAAATCAGCCTCTTGACTTCTAATTGACCATCTCCAACGCTTGTGATTCAACGGTGATATTTTAGTCTGACCAAGTGCTAACTACCTTTCAGGCTGTTAGCAGGAGAAGCAAGATCAAAATCCGGAAAGAGGTCTGGGTGCTGGCACTCGTAGTGGAAGCTGCTCTGTGGGATGGGGAAGTTAACATAGTCTGGGGTCAATGGGTTGTGAGTGATCAAGCATCCCCATCTCGCTTCACGTCAGGATGCCGGTGAATAAGTTCTCCATTTTGCGATCACATAAGATGACCCACGATCAAAATCAATTGAAGGCTAGGAAGAACTGATGATGCTTGAACTCGGCTACATCAGAAGTTGAGAGTCCACCTCATATCGTGGGTTACCAGCTATCGAAGAGATTATTAAGACTAAGAAAGGCGTAAACTTAACGGCTGCGAGCTTCCAGGCCCAGTTGCTTAAGAGGAGAGAGAAGTCAGGGGAAGGCCAATGTGGTAGAAAGAGTATATTCTGTACAGCATAAATCTGAAAATAGGCAGTAGGAGATTGATTATCAGAGGGCCGAACAACCGCAAGCCAACGGACGGCGTCTGAAGTGATGTCTGCTTGACAGTTGTCACGTGTGGTCTTCTGTGAGTCGGCCTGTGATTGGCTGTTTCCGATGCCGAAGGCAGCAAGCGTTTACAAAAGGCGGTTCGACTTGAGTCCGTCACGACAATCGTTCACAGCTGCCCTTCATGTACAGTTAGTCACTACAGGCCGTCGTTGGCTTTCGTCAGCGAAAACAATATAATTACAGGGAGAAAAATATTTTACTACCTAGTACGCACTCCTTGTGATTTTAGCTGCTTTCCTACGATCGCCAAACGAATGCTTGTTTGTTAAATATGTTGATGATATGGTTGTAAGCCATCT